AATTACTTTTATTTATTATTTTAACTAATTATTGAAATATATAAAAAGGTAGAAAAAAAACCAAGTAAATAAAATATGTTAACTTAACATTTATTTAAGTATATACAAATAAAATTTTTATGGGCATTAATTGTTTTAACAGCATGTTGTTAATTTATTGATTGCCATTTGGTTGAGCACTGTTGACGGTTTTAATTTATGGCAGCACTGCTGTCGTTACAAATTCTTTATAAATGAATTGCCTGGTGAACATAAGTGAATTTACGCAGAATAATAAACAAATAAAAAAAGAAGTACCTTCAATTGAAATTAATTCCAGTTTGTGTAAATAATTAATCAATTAAGGCATGTGGAATATTGAGTTAAACAAAATGTGCTAAGCCACAAATAATTTACAAAAATCGTAGTCAAATATAAAAAATTTTAAATATTTAACTCAGCAGCTTATATGTAGGAGTTAGTTCAGAATCAATATATAAATCTTAAAGCCTTTGTTCTGGAACACAGAAGTCTTCATTGCACTTCGGTCTGCCATTTCAGAATCACATTTTATAGTCCTGACACTGACAATGTGTGAAAATATGCATGTGCTGCTGCTTTGTCAGCATTTGGCAGAGTTAAAGCAAAAATCGGATTCCTTTGACATTTGGCTAAAAAGCAGAGAGACGCAAAGTCAGGCAGCAAATGAAAGTGTCAGCGCAGTGCCAGCTGAGACGTGGAAAATGTGATGACTTTTCTGCAGAAACTTGGCTTATGTTTATAAACGTTATGTGCTCCACTTGGCGTGATTAGCCTTGCGTATTTTGTTCAAGTGCCTGAGGCAAACGCTGCGTATGAGTTATTTATTGTTTTTCTTTCTCCTGTTTTCCTATTTTTTTTTGTTTTTGCTTGACAGCATGCCGAGTGAAACTTTGGCGGTTTATGACTTTAGTTGAGGAGCTTAGCTACATTAAATGTTTAGGTAGCTCAAGGAGCAGAAAGTGCTTCAAATTGTCATTCAATTGCAAATGGCCTCTGTCTGGCAATGTCTGCCTCAGGCTGAGTAAATAATTTATGTACGCTTCCTCATTTTTAATTGTCTGGCGAGGAAAGAGTGCGCCAGCTATATAAGTGCACTAATCTCAATATTGATAAGCCAAGGACATTTTGGTGAGGCACTCTTTAAATGGCAACGGCCTTTGCCCGCTTCTCCCGCTGCATGCCCGTTGACTCTTTTGTGTTGCTATTTACTCAGTCAACTGTTCACGCATTCACTTTTGGCCTAGTGCTCCACTTCTCGGCCGCATTCATTCAAACACGTACTCACTGTGCATTCATGCGTTTTATGACCCACTGTCGGCGGGCAACGCTTGACTCTTTCACCGCCCAGCGAATGTGTGTGCCGCAGGGCCCACAGAGTTGACCCAATGCTGCTAACCAATTGTTAACCTTGCCAGTGGGCCAGGTTTGAGTTTGTGTACGATACAGCCAAGTACATGGGTCAACTGAGGCTTAATTATATTCTACTGTTAAGCTACAAGAATGAATTTTACGAAACTTCTTTTGTTTTTACTCTGTGTGCATTGTGCACTGTCTGACATTATTAAAGACCGAATGACAGCGAATATGAGGCAATACGTTAATAAATGCAATGAGAATTTTAGCTTCTGTCACAGTTGATAGAATTTAATATAGATCAAAGTAGACAAAAGAAGGTTAATAAGCGCTGAGAGACAGAGAAAGAGAGAGAGAGAGAGAGAGAGAGAGAGAGAGAAAGAGAGGGAACCAGAGAGCGTCTCATTAATTACTTTAAAATTGTATATACCCTTCTGCATAAATTATTCACTTCTGTTTCCCTATAGCTGCCTGAAACGTTGAGCATGGTTAGGCATGGAACAGGCAGTTTCTTTTACCAAGCGCGGTTATTAGGGTTCACTAGATGGAGGGCTCGACACAAGACCCCTAAAGTTGTTTACTGTTTTACCCTTCTGTATATGGAAGTTTTGAAAAGCAAAAACATTATTTATTTCATCAGGGCGAATTAAAGCGAAATGGGATTTAAAGGAAAATCCAGTATGGTTTTTTTTTTATAATTATTAATTATTAGTTATTAATGATTTAAGTCTCTTTATGTTATGTTTTGTATTTAGAGAAAAATTTTGAATTCTTTCGGCTCTTTCTTTTTATTTAGTTTGGTCCATATGTGAAATAAAAAGTTCTTAAAACTTTCTATACATTTTTGCCATTAATTTATAAGCATTATTTGTTGGAAGTCTGATGGTATTTTTTCACATAGTTAAAAGAGCAAATGATGCAAAATACATTTGATTTTGTCTATTAACCAAGCACACAAATTAAATCAATTGAATCACTTTTCTGCAAGAAGAATATATCCAAATCAACTAATTGCATAAAACAAGCCGGAAAAGATACGACGTGTTTTATCTGTCCCATGCATGCATATCCTTTGGCTTTGCCGAGCAGCGAAAAGACACACACGTAATTTGGCATCGTGGAAAATTGAAGGTACATATATTCAAGGATATATCTAGAGAGCGAGAGCGTGGGAGGGGGAGCTGCCCCGTATTCGGCTTTGCCTTATATTTCAGCGCACGTATTTAACATAAATTGCTGAAACTGAAACTAGGATCAATATGCAGACTTGCCATTCGTCAAGCAAACCAGATGAAACCAAGGCGATACAAAAATGCAAAGCCAGCAATCAGCTCTACCCGCTGAGCCACATTTGCGACACAAACACACACACATACGCATAATCAATGGCTACAAACTGCTAGGGATATACATATGTGAATTTGGCAGCTTTTTTTACATTTCTGCATCATTAAGTAGCTGAGCATGTCGAGAATATGCTAATAACTGAGAGAACTGTTACCACACAAGCTGGCAAAAAGAAAAAAAAAAAAAAAATGCTAGTAGCAAGCAGAGTGAAGTATACGCCTTGTTGTGCATCTGTCTGAGTGTGTGTGTGTGTGGAAAATATTTTTTTGTTTTTGCTTGAGAATGAGAATGGTTTGAGTCGAGCGCAAAGCTTTTGAGCCCTACCTCGCCGTCTGCCGTATCAAAGGATAGAGCATTTAAATGGGAATTTGGCTCGAGTTCATTTTTGAAAGGCCAGCTTTAAAGTAAATGTACTTAAGTATAATATGGGCTTAACATGTGTAAAGGCTCTCAAAGTTTTTTTTTTCGGTTTTTTTATTTTTCAACTTTTTTTTTCCGGTTAATCTATAATCTTTGTGAGTTATGTCAAATATATTGATATATACCTCATCGTAAAGGTTATTTTTTAATCTACAATTTAGCATTTACATTTTTTTAATTTCAATTCATTTTATATGTTTTATAGGCGTTTCAAGTAGAAGTTAAAAAAAAAAAAAATAAATAAATAAAGAAAAAAATAGACGAATATCACTGTTATTCACTGTACATAAATATATACTTAATTCATAATGCATAGCGCAAGCAATTTCTGTTGAAATTCGATAGCAAAGCTTATTGGAAATAGAATACTCTTTCTCTTTATTAATTTTCATAAAAACTTTTGTCAGTTCGTCTTGTGTTATAAATTGCTGCAAAGTTTGTTCAGTTTGAATTTTGAAGAAATTTCTTCGATTAGAAATATAGTTAATTAAAGGGCAGGTGAGATCTTAAATTTTTTATTACTTTTAATAGAGGTATCTAATTGATTTTCAATTTGAATATTTACTTTACTTTAACAAGTATATTCATTTCTCGTTAAAGGATTTTTGTTCTTCTGACAACATCATTTTAGAAACACAATTCAAAAATATTGAAAACTGAGCGAAGATACTCCTGACAAGTCATGCTTGCTCTCGTTTCCTGCCACGCTCTACGTGCCTGGTATTTGTGAAGTCAGCCTGAAATGGGCAGTTGGCCATTTGGTGGTCAGCAATTGACGCAATTTGCAATGGCAAAGTCGAGCAACAACAAAACAAAGCGCAATACGAATTCGATAGCAGAGATTGGAGCTAGTTCAGCTGGCTTTAGGCTGGGCACGGCAAGGTCTTTTGTTTTGGCCTGATGGCAAACATGTCTATTGACTGAAAGCA